ATATATATATATATATATATATATATATATATATATATATATATATATATATATATATATAAAGAGCTCCAGAAGCGATGCAAAAGAAACGCAGCAATGCCACCAGCATCCGCCACGAGACAAACGAGAAAAGATGAAATAAATGTAAAAAGAGAAGCAGAATAAGAAGACGGATATGATGAAGCAGAGCGATGAGAGAGGCAGAGGCGGCCTACCCCTTATTTATATTTAATATGCAATCCAACCAGCACCAAGTTGGGTGGGGTGGAGGCCACCAGAGCAGCAGTAGTGTTTACATTTGTTTATTTCTGTTTCTTCTCTCTCCCATACAATACTTATAAAGTGTTTTTATATATGTATGGAGATAAGAATAACATATAAACATACAATCCCTGTCGCTAGCAGTATAACAGCTCGATAGACGGGTGCACGGACCCACTGCTATGGTGATGTTTGTGTTTTTATTGAGGAATATGTACGAGAAATAATATATCTTTGATTTAATATAATATTATTTTAATATTATTATTAATATTCATGTGAAATATACACGAAAACAACTCTATCAATCCAAAGACTCCTCATCCTCTTGGCCGTCCTGGGGTTTCGCTTCCTGCACCACCAACTTGGTTCCGTATTTCGTTCCTGGCTTGCATACACCCGATTCATCCAGCTCGCATACCTATTCAAACATAATAAACATAAATAATCAGAAATATTCACATAAATATCAACAAAAACAACAACAGAAAAACACACACGGAGAGAATATATCGTACACAGGAAGAAAACAGAAAAATACATATGCAGCACACCCTTAAAGCAACAAACACAGCTAAAGAAGCACAACACACAAGCAGCCTATCGCTACTCTACTGCTACTGCTACTGCTGCTGCTGCTGCTGTTGCAGCAGCAACAGCAACTGCTGCTGCTGTTGCTGTTGCAGCAACAGCAGCAACTGCTGCTGCTGTTGCTGTTTAGTAGGACTGACGATAAGGTTGAGTTGGTTGGGGTTTGTGTTGGATCGAGCCAGCACTGCGCGATCGCCAGATTTGAGCTTTCCTGAAATGAGGAGAGGAGCAACGCGCGGCTTTATGTACTTCTCCAGGTATCTGCAGCAGCAACACAAAATAATAATAATAATAAAACAAAAATAACAATAAAAACAACAGAAAAAACAGAAACAGAAACAAAAACACTAGCAACAGCAACAATAAAAACAGCAACAGCAGCAGCAGCACCACCACAACAGCAGAAGAGCAAGAGCAGCATCATCACCCCCAGCAGCATCATCACCATCATAATCATCATCAGCAGTATGAAACAAACGTATCTGTATAAAACATGAATAAATACAAATAAAGTAAACAAATAAGCGTTTACTTTCCCATCCTTCTTCCTCCGTATTTATATGAAGATGCTCGCTCGAGGATATATGTCATCGCTGAATCTGCAACTTTGAAATCAACGCCACGAGCCGCTAAACTTTTCGTCAAAGAAGAAAGTTTCAGTCCCAGTACACCCTTCAGAGCTTCTTCATTCAGAGGCTCAAATATCTATACAAAACAAACACAATATATTTATATATATCTTCTATTGTATATATATATATTCTATTGTATATATATTTTGTTTGTGGTGAGAATCTATCGGTTAGATCGCCGGTATTCTATTTATATTTATATTTATATTTATATTGGATATTACGCTATTCATAATATTGTACAGAAAGCAGGCACATTCATCTACTACTCTCGCTCTCTCTCTCTCTCTCTGTCTCTGTTTTTCCTCTATTCTCCGTACATATATGATTGAATAATTTATAAAATTTAATAAATTAATAAATAATTTAATTTTGTTAGTGTTTGTCGCGATATACATACAATGATTTCACTCATTCTTCCTATAACCTGCGGCTTGAAATAACCGAATACCTCCTTCAGCACTTTCTGTCTCATCCTTCTGAGTACATCTTTTGGTGATTTGCCTGTTCCTTTGAATCCCCCTGTATTTGTATTTGTATTTCCAGTTTTGTTGCTGTTATTATCTTCTCCTGTTGCTGCAGATCCTCCACCTGTTGCTGAGTTTCCGCTTGTGGCTGTTGCTGGGTCACCTGATCCTCCTTTTTCTGCGCCTTGCAGAGCACGAGCCTCTTTATAACCCTCCAATATAAACTGCTGCCCAATATTTGATGTTAATATTATTAAACAATTCGTAAAATCTACGCGGTTTCCCTTTGAATCCGATAAATGACCCTCATCTAACATCTGTACACGAAACACACACAAACCCCAAACCCTAAACCCTAAACCCTAAACCCTAAACCCTAAACCCTAAACCCTAGAGAGTAGAAAAGCAATTTTTCATGATATATTTATGGATATTATATTGTTTTTAGTTCCTCTGCATCAAACACCACCAACCCCACCACCAACCCCACCAATAACCACCCTATAATCCTAAGGCAAGAGTGCCTGCATAGGACAAATAAATCATTTTCCTTTAAATACATGTTATAAAACATTTAAAATATTTATAATTTTTATATTTCCGCATAGAATACAACATTTTTATGTTACTTGCATAAACCTGAACAACAACCCCACCCACCATAACCACCCTCCAACCCCACCCCTATAACCACCTCACCGGCAGCAGCAGCGACCATAGATTTTTATGTGCGTTTTCGACTTCATCAAAAAGCACAACGCTGTGAGGTTTTTGCCTGACGGCCTCGGTGAGCTGGCCCCCCTCATCGTTGCCCATGTAGCCTGGTGGGGGCCCTATAAGCCGAGATATACTGTGGGCCTCTTGGTACTCCACCATATCCAAACGAATTAAATTTTTCTCAGAGTCAAACATCTCCTCTGCCACGGCTTTAGCTAACTCCGTCTTTCCTACACCTGCGGAGAAAAGACGATACATTAACGCACAGATAGAAGATACTATACACAAACAAAAGGAATAAACTGAATATATATATATATATATATATATATATATATGCATGTATATAGTACAAACGGAATATATAATAATAATATAAATATAAAACAGAAAAGAAGCTTTCTTTTTTTTCTTTTCTTATCTGATGTTCTACAGAACACCGCGGCCGTTGCACTTTGTGTTGAATACGAGTTTAAAAAAAGAAAAAAATTATTATTT